CTTCCTTTTCGACGAAAAGCAATTCGTATACCGGTTGCTTCAGGATAAAACGCGCAATTCACATACATGTTTCTTTGTAATTACTGTTTTCCACAATACACGCAAAATTAATAATTTCGTTGGAAATTGGAATACTTTGGATGGGAATGCGCATTGCGACGCGGTAAATTGAAAAACGATTTCTCTTATTGGAGAATAGAAAGTTATGTGTCTTTCTTCGTAAACAAAATTAATCGTAATTGAAAAAAAAATAATTTGTTCATTAACTGGGAGGATTTTGTTGAAATTACGTAGAGAAGTTTACTTGTAAAATATTTATTAATTTTATTTTACATTGATATGTTGTGAAAATTGAGATTGAAAATTGAATAAATATAATAAATTAAATTTCAGAATAAAAATTGAATATTTGCTCGAAGTAAAAAAATTACAAATAATTAATAAAAATAATAATAGCATATTTATAATCAGAATTTTATTTCTTTTGTAATATTAATAAGCAATATCTTAGGAAATTTAGTGATAAAATTCATATTTATATTATAATATTTTATATTATATCGTATTTTATATTATAATTTTATGCTTTTTTACAATCTTTGTTTTCAATGCAGAATAAAATCGATTAAAATTTATTTTGTTTAATTTTGAATTAATAAATTTCGATTAATAATCAATTTCTTTTTAAAAAAAAAATAAAATAAAATTTGTTCTATAAATTTAATATTTGACAATTCCAAATTTTTTAAAAATCTTTTCTTAAAATCTTTTCTTTTTTTGTTCTGTTTAAATTTATATAAAAGAATCAGTCTCAGTTAAAATTGGTTAAATCTAGCTTCCAGATAAAATTAGTTAAAGTAGTTAAAGTAAAGAAAAGTAGTAAAACTTCGTTATTGTTAAAACCACAGAAATCCATCAATATTCAATTTAACCAGTAAACTCTCAAAACTATTGAGAAATAATTTAAAGTTAGAATATAAATTACCCACTTAAAATAAACTTTTCTTCATCAAAGTTTTCCGTTTCATTTTTTCTTTTTTTATGTATATATTTTTTTAAATTAGTTTTAATTTTCCCTAATAAAATATCGATATTTTTAAAATTAACTACTTAAAATCAATGATAATGAAAAATATTGATAAAGTTTTAATTGATCATTAATAGATTTCAAATTTTAATAATATGAATAGATAACAATAATATAAATAAAAAAAGATTAATTAATATTTTTATATTTTCTTTGTTAAATTAATTGTTTATTTATTTAAATTGTATGTATAAATGTATGAGTTAAAAAAAAGAATTTTTCATTAATATTCGAAGGTTCATGATTGGTCAATACGTAACAGTTCACGGCGATGTTATATCACATGTCAATATCAGCCATGTGATGGTGGAGGATGGAGGAGAATATTCTTGCATGGCCGAAAATCGAGCTGGGAAAGTCACTCACGCTGCTCGCCTCAATGTTTACGGTAAACTTTAGTAAATTCAATAACCAAAATTCATATTATTTAACAAATTGATATTCTTGGATAAAATTCCTTTAACTATATATATAGTTTAAATTTGAATTTTGATTTGAATCTATTAAATCTATTAATTCAAATTGTTTAAATAAAATGAAAATAATAATTAATATGAATAAATATGTTATTATAATGTATAAAATATTTAATAAGGATTAACTTGATTATTAATAATTATTAGGACGTAGGTTTTAGTAATTAGAAATAAATAAATAGTATTATTATATGTGTTTTCAAACATTTTGTTACACATCAAATTAAATATTATTTTTATATAAAAGAAAAAATTTTATAATAGTTGTTAATTCTGTATAAAATTTGCATTTAAATCATAATTTTGTTACATAATTTTCTTTACAAAATTCTATTCTTGAAAAAATAACTTCATTATAGAAATAATGTAGTATTAATTAATCAAATATATTGATATTAGCATAATATTAGCATTCATTAATCAAATTATTTCTAATATAAAGACCAATAAGAATATTACTAAAAAATATTAATAAGAAATATTTTAGAAAATTAATTGGTAAAAATTGTGTTTATAATTTCATTTTTTTTTACAATATTTTGTTTTCAAAAAATTAACTTTAGAATAGCAATAAAAAATATCTTTGAAAGTAATTTAGAAATAAAATTTTACATATCCATATCTATAATAAATAAATATTTCATTACTTTATTATTAAAACACATTTTAAATAATGAAGATAATAATAATTATTTTATTTTAATGACATTACTGAATATTCAATAATTATTTTATATTTCATAAATTTCACTTTATTTGTTTTTCTTATTTATAAATTTATTTTTCTTATTTCAGGTCTTCCATACATTCGATTAATTCCAAAGGTTACCGCTGTTGCCGGTGAAACTCTTCGTTTAAAATGTCCAGTCGCTGGCTACCCTATCGAAGAAATCAAATGGGAACGAGCGAATCGCGAATTACCAGATGATCTTCGACAAAAAGTGCTTCCAGATGGTACCTTGGTCATCACGAGCGTGCAGAAGAAAGGCGATGCAGGCGTTTATACGTGTTCAGCGAGGAATAAACAAGGACACAGCGCGAGAAGATCGGGAGACGTCGCAGTGATCGGTAAGACATTACGTTCGATCCGTTATTCCATGATTGTTCCAGATTCCAAACGGACGACATCAAGTGTGGAAATGGTTTGCCATTATCAGATAGAATAAAAATGAAGTAAAACCGGATATGCTTTTGAAAGAATCATTATTATCTTTCGAGCAATGTTTGCAAAAATGAAAAAAGAAAAAGAAAAAAAACAGAAAGAAAGAAGAAATTTTCTAGGATTCTACGATGAGGAGAAGGATATTCCCGGATGACGTGTTATAGATCTTCGCCTATGCTTATCGAGTTCACAAGCTGTCATTATTGTTATTATTCCAGTTCCTCCCAAAATTAGCCCATTCACGGCAGATCGTGATCTTCATCTCGGCGAACGAACGACGTTGACTTGTTCGGTGACGAGAGGCGATCTGCCTCTCTCGATCTCCTGGCTCAAGGATGGACGAGCGATGGGCCCATCGGAGCAAGTCACTGTCACCAATATGGACCAGTACAATAGCATACTGATGATTGAACATTTATCTCCAGATCACAACGGCAACTACTCGTGCGTGGCCCGTAATCTGGCCGCAGAGGTATCACACACGCAGCGGCTTGTGGTTCATGGTAATCCTCCTCTAGGCCCCCTTCATTTTTGCCTGACGACCGCCTGCCCGCCCGAAATTTGAACGAGTGTCGATCGTATGAGTGCGTACACGGTTGCCCACACTCGCGAATGAACCGCGTGAGGATCTCAAAGTGCTGTTTTTCCCTTCTTCGTATTCAGAAATCATAACCATGTCAAGCGACTAAATAATAATCATTCGACATATTTTCACACACGTTTCTTCGTTCTCGCTTCCTCTGGAAACATTGATGTTTTAGCACTGTCTCACCGCTGTAAATAGCTTTCAACGTGAACTAATTATAATGAAGATGTGTGATCACACAGCTCGTTAAGTTCTTACGCGTTCATTCGAGAAAGAGTCTTTATTTTTTTATCTAATACAAAGCCATCAACGTTATTCAGGAACGTAGAGACCTGGTGACGCGTTACTTCATGACGGCTCACGCTTAGCGTGGCTCATCCTCCTGCACGAGACCTGCCACTATCATCTCCCACATTTCTCCCTTGATCCAAATTTCGACTCTTCGAACAGAGATCGCTTTACGATCGAATCAAAATTAACGATACAAAATCATTCGCGCTTTGACAAGAATTTGGCCGCAAAAAAAAAAGAGTTTTCACTTGGAAGAAATTTTCGAAGGGTCGAACGAATGCTAGCTCTTGCGTTGGGAACGACCGTATGCGGTGTGAATGTGCGATGCCAAGTTAAGTGTACAAGGTGTTTTAGGGCGGCAGGGGCAGGTCCGCGGCGGGGCCACCCTCTCTCTCCTCTACATTGCTACGTTACTATACTGCCTCTATTGTACATATTCTACGTATATATATATACATATTATATTCTATATATATATCTATACATATACATGGACGTACTACTGTCTATATATATAATATATATAAACATACCGCTACTATATAAAAAGAGAACATATATATATTTATACATATATATATAATGATTACACATGTACCTGGTACAAAAAAAAGGTTCTTGCGTTTTTTTGGTGCCATCTTTTTCTCGCTCTCACGTATGGTTCTCTCTTCTCTCTTGACCTTTTCCAGTACCCCCTATTATTGAGCCATTTACGTTCCAAGAGGGACTATCCGAGGGGATGCGGACGCGGACGGTGTGCGGGGTCGCGGCGG